AAATCAGGGGCTTTGTCTGAGGTGTCAAAAGGGCCATTTATGGTTTCCTGGCCTATGGCCTCCACTCCCAACCCCCCACCTCTAAAACAGGCATAGGCTGCTTGGGATAACTTTTTTCTTTTTCTTTTTATTATTTATTTATTTGTTTGTTTTGAGACGGAGTTTTGTTCTTTGTTGCCCAGGCTGGAGTGCAATGGCGCGATCTCAGCTCACTGCAACTTCCACCTTCCGGGTTTAAGCAATTCTCCTTTCTCCTGCCTCAGCCTCCCAAGTAGCTGTGATTACAGGTGCCCACCATGACACCCAGCAAATTTTATTTTTTTTTTGAGACGGAGTTTCGCTCTTGTTGTTGAGGCTGGAGTACAATGGTGCGATCTTGCTCACTGCAACCTGTGCCTCCCGGGTGCAAGTGATTCTCCTGCCTCAGCCTTCCGAGTAGCTGGGATTACAGCCATGCACCACCACGCCCAGCATATTTTGTATTTTTAGTAGAGACAGGGTTTCTCCATGTTGTTCAGGCTGGTCTCGAACTCCCTACCTCAGGTGATCTGCCCGCCTCGGCCTCCCAAAGTGCTGGGATTACAGGTATGAGCCACTGCGTCCGGCTTTTTTTGTATTTTAAGTAGAGACAGGGTTTCATCATGTTGACCAGGCTGGTCTCGAACTCCTGACCTCAAGTGATCTGCCCGCCTTGGCCTCCCAAAGTGCTAGGATTAGAGGCGTGAGCTACTGCGCCCAGCCTAGCTTTCTTCTTTTTAAAATGATTATTTTTCTTTCTAATTATGAAAGGTGAAAGGGGGAAAAAAATCATCTCACCCACAGACAGTGTTTTTATATTTATTTCTGGGTATTTCAAGTCTTTTTTTTTTTTTTTTTAAGTTAACATCTCCTCTTTTATGGCACAAGATGGAGTTAACACCTTTTAAAGTTCCTTTTTTTTTTTTTTTTTTAAGTTCAGCACTTAAACTGTGAAGCTTTCTGATTTTGCTGTCTTATAATATCTCAGTAAAGCCTTCAAAAAAATCCCAACATTTTCCTGGGCTTGCTACAGACCTATATCCAAGAGGCAAATGATTGAGGCTGTTTTCAATAGGCAAATGATTCTGTTTTTAAGGCTCTGACATCTGTCCCAGCCTATCTTCTAATCTTATTTCCTACAAATTCTCATTCCAGATGGGTCCTCACTAAGTAGCCCCTGCCCTGCCAGACTCTTTCCCATTTCCACTCTCCTCCCTACTTAACCACATTATGCCCGCTGTTGTTCAGTCACACCACTTTTTTTTTTTTTTTTGAGACAGAGTCTCTTTCTGTTGCCAGGCTGGTGTGCAGTGGTGTGATCTTGGCTCACTGCAACTTCCGTCTCCCGGGTTCAAGCGATTCTCCTGCCTCAGCTTCCTGAGAAACTGGGACTGTAGGCGCGTTCTACCTCGCCCGGCTAATTTTTTTGTATTTTTAGAAAAGACGGGGCTTCACCGTGTTAGCCAGGATGGTCTCGATCTCCTGTCCTCGTTATCCACCTGCCCCAGCCTCCCAAAGTGCTAGGATTACAGGTGTGAGCTACTGCGTTCAGCCAGTCACACCACTTTTAACCAAGTAATTGGGTAAGTAAGCCTTTGAGTCCTGGTTTCCTCATCTACAAAATGGGGTTACCACCTGCTCCAGCTATCTCATGGAATGGTTGAATGATCAAATGACATAATAGATAAGAAAGCCATATAGTACAGGTATGATCATTACTCATATATACAAACATTTCAATTCCTAATCAGACACTGTCTTGCTATTTCAATGTTCCTCATGTGGGACTGACATATTTTTAAATTCCTTGGGGTACAGGACAATGACAAAGGCTAGTTGAATATTACTCTCAGGTCTAAGCACCTGGCAGGACACATGGTCTGCAGTCAATGCATATTTGCCAAATTTACAAATGAATGAACATACAAACAATGGAACACAAGAGAGATAACAGACAGATTGGAGCGGAGGAGGAGAAATGCCATTAAGGAATAGGAATAGCAGTCCATGGATGGTTCATACCAGTACTCCCAGCACTTTGGGAGGCTGAGGTTGGCGGATCACCTGAGGTCAGGAGTTCAAGACCAGCCTGGCCAACATGGTGAAACCCCTGTCTCTACTAAAAATACAAAAAAAATTAGCCTGGCGTGGTGGCAGGCAACTGTAATCCTGGGTACTCGGGAGACTGAGGCAGGAGAATTGCTTGAACCCAGGAGACAGAGGTTGCAGTGAGCTGAGGTGGCACCATTGCACTCCAGCTTGGGCGACAAGAGCAAGACTCTGTCTCAAAAAA